TAATAATGTAAAGTTTAAAACTTCCTTTTCAAAATTCTGGAAATTTATCTAGACCGTGTCTTCCCAGAGAAATTGGCCTCCCAACATTTTGACCATGGTTATTCGTTGCTTAGATTTCCTCCCTGTATACCTAAATTGCCATAATTCCGACATGTAGTTTGATTAAAAAGGAGAGTCATAATGTTGGTTATCGATGTTTAATAGACCAACAATTTGTTTTAACATTTACTAAAATGAGGTGTATTTCACCTCTTTGAAAATTGTCGCCGTAAAAATAAAATCTGGTTCACAGGACCAATACAAATTTGGAATGACATCATAAAAATTCGAAGTCTACTTCCCTTCAGAAGAAACCCAATTATTATAAACTCTACGGGTTAATATGTTTTATAAATGTTTTAAATAATGTAAATTACAATTCCGTTAAATAAAATATCCTAGATTTACGAGCACAAACAGGAAAAGTTCTTCCAAAGTCGGCATATATCAGTAGTCAGAATATTTTGCAATTAATCTCAAATAATTAAAAAATTCTGCTTCTAAATATGAAAATTACTTCAAAAATATTGGTGGTGACGATTACATACCTCCAATGACATCCCCATCTTAAATTCGTCACTCAAACGCATGGCTAGTGTATTGGCGAGTAGGTACTTTCTTTTGGAACAATGGTATAAGTACTTATGTAGTGCTTACCCGAACAAGCGGAATGTATAGTGTATGGGGCCCTTTAGGATAAGTGTTTCTAAGGTCGGCAAGTCACTTGAATTCGTTCGTTTAGAATTTTACGAAAACTGGCTGTAAAATATGGGTGTTAACAAACAAATATTCAAAAATTCAACTATTTTATTTCGAGCTTCTGATCAAATGTTTTCTTGTTGCATTTTACTAAATATTGTTGTTCGAAAACATCTTTCAATATTTTTAAATGAAATAGTCAAATCTCTGCATAGTAATTTACAGCTCTACCTAAACTTTTACTATGAATTTATATGAATGTTACCGAAATACGTCGAATACAAGGTTTATTAACACGGTTAACCGGCAGCCGTATCCATGCCTTAGTCTTCTCGGCTTAAATGCACTTTACGGACACCTCTCAGATCATTTTGAAATTTTTATCATAGGTAGCCCTTCTGATGCTGATTACAGCAACATAATTTTTTTCGGGGGGAAATCAGTACTTTCCGAGATATGGGGTTCCAAAGTTCAAAAAATACCCCCACTCCGAAACAGTTTTTTTACAACACATAGTCCTTTTGGAGCTTTAAGAATACCACTCCGAAACGTTTAGTTTTTTTACAACACATAGTCCTTTTGGAGCTGATTACAACCACATAATTTTTTTTGGGGGGAACTTCGTACTTCCGGAAATATGGAGTTCCAAAATTTTAAAAATAAGCTTATATTGTTATTTGTGTGATTTCAGGATTTTTTCCTTTAGGGACACTCGGATTTTCCACCCAATTTTCCACCTGTCCATAGGATAAAGTCTTAAATCCCCGGCCGAAGGCCGGCTATATAGACTTTTTAACCGTCCAAATAAATCCCCGGCCGAAGGCCGGCTATTTAGAAAAAATTGAAATTAAAAGAGAATTCAACCAATTAAAAGAACAGGATAAGAACTCAAAATGTCTTTCAAAAAACGTAATGATAAATAAAAAAATAAAAATATTTTTTGTTTATTTATTCTTCAAATAATAAGACTTCGAATTCGCCTCCCTGTTAACCGTATGAATCATTATACAATTAAAAAAGGTAACAGCAAATCCCAGCTGATTTGATTCCAACGTAATACTAGTGTCAATATGAATTTGACAAATTATGTTTTTAAAAATCACCCAACAGGAAAATTGGGAGCGCATACAATTTGAAATTGTTCTTTATTAATGTGCTCCCGTATTCAATTTACTCAATCTGCCTGCTGGGAAAGTTTGAGGAAGCAAATCTTTCTTGAAGGAATTACTCGCTATTCCCAGCATTGTCATATGTGTTACACATATATATAGTAATGGCTCGATTAAAGGAAAGATGTGGAAGCGATAGAAATATAAATTTGATAGATTTTCATTCATGTTTTTCAATTTTTATTTTGAGGATTCGAAAATATTCTATTTTCAAAATAAAAATAATTTGATGATAATTTGTTTGTTTGTTTACATTTTCTGTCAAATGAGTTGAGTTGTACAACAACACTTGCTGTTAACTTTTATTATTATACCATGCGTATCATGGTACAATTATAAAAGGTAACAGCAAATCCCAGCTGATTTGATTTCAACGTAATACTAGTGTCAATATGAATTTGACAAATTATGTTTTTAAAAATCACCCAACAGGAAAATTGGGAACGCATACAATTTAAAATTGTTCTTTATTAAATGTGCTCCTGTTTTCAATTTACTCAATCTGCCTGCTGGGAAAGCTTGAGGAGGCAAATCTTTCTTCAAGGAATAACTCGCTATTCCCAGCATTTTCATATGTGTTACACATATATATGGCAATGGCTCAATTATAGGAAAGATGTGGAAGCGATAGAAATATAAATTTGATAGATTTTCATTCATGTTTTTCAAATTTTATTTTGAGGATTCGAAAATATTTCATTTTCAAAATAAAAATAATTTGATGATAATTTGTTTGTTTGTTTACATTTTTCTGTCAAATGAGTTGACACTAGTAGAACTTACAACAACAAATTTCCATGTGGTTGTTGTATCGTTTTTTGTACAACAACACTTGCTGTTACCTTCTATTATTATACCATGCATGCGTATCATGATACAATTATAAAAGGTAACAGCAAATCCCAGCTGATTTGATTCCAACGTAATACTAGTGTCAATATGAATTTGACAAATTATGTTTTTAAAAATCACCCTACAGGAAAATTGGGAACGCATACAATTTAAATTTGTTTTTTTTTTTTTTATTAAATGTGCTCCTGTATTCAATTTACTCACTCTGCCTGCTGGGAAAGTTTGAGGAAGCAAATCTTTCTGCAAGGAATAACTCGCTATTCCCAGCATTTTCATATGTGTTACACATATATATGGCAATGGCTCAATTATAGGAAATATGTGGAATAGATAGAAATATAAATTTGATTTGATTTTCATTCATGTTTTTCAATTTTTATTTTGAGGATTCGAAAAAATTTAATTTTCAAAATAAAAATAATTTGATGATTATTTGTTTGTTTATTTACATTTTTCTGTCAAATGAGTTGACACTAGTAGGACTTACAACAACAAATTTCCATGTTGTTGTTGTATCGTTTTTTGTACAACAACACTTGATTTTACCTTCTATTATTATACCATGCATGCGTATGAATAAACCTTGGTTGACAAATTTAACTATAAAACGGCATATACATTAGAACTTTTTACCGGGTTAACCCACTTCAGGAGGATTTATTTGACATATATGCAAAGGGATTGACAATTGAAACCCACTGGGTTAACGAAATCCGATTAAATGTAAACGTACTACAACATTTTTTGGAAAAGAAATAAAACTAAAAAAAATATAAAACAAAACGGCATATAGGGTAAACGCACCAATAGTCGGCATTTTAAGAATTTTCGCTTTTTAAACGTTTCACCATTCCGAGTGCATTTTTTTCCACGATATTATATTAAGGTTCATCTGTTTCGAAATTTTGTTTACTCCACGATGGAATACAAATTTGTTTAATTAATTTCTATTAAATTAGATTAAATTAATAATTATGTCTTTGTCTTTGTGCCAATAGTCGGCACTTTTTTCCAATTGTCGGCATGTTATGTTCCAATAGTCGGCATGTCGCATTTTAGTTAAACAAAAATTATATATTTAATGCATTTTTCTGCTATTCGCAATAATAAATTATTACTATGGGACGTTTCCATCAGTGTTATATTAAAAAAGTTATATAAAATAATATTATTTATTAAAATATTACAATTATAAAACATGGTGCCGACTTTGGGAACCTGTTATCCAATTCTCGGCATGGCTAAATAAGGCATTTCATAGGTTAAACACATTTAAAATTAAACAATGTAAAATATATATTTTTAATATAGTTACAAGTCTTTGCAATTGACATGCCCACTAATTTTTTCTTAAGAAACATGATTTATCGTTAGTGTTGACAAACCTCATTGACCAAATGCCAAATTTTGCCTCAATAAATGTACATAGTTCGATTAAATTTTATACAGAGATAGGCTGCAGTGTTATTGAAGATTATTCGAGGTATTTTTCATATTTAGTTATAGGATTTTTTAGTTTTTTGAAGTTATATAAAAAAGATGCCGACTATTGGTACATGCCGGAATTAGGTGCGTTTACCCTACATTAGACTTTTTTTTAACGGGGTAACCTGCTTTATGAGGAATTATTTGACAAATATGCAAAGGAAATGACAATTGAAACCCACTGGGTTAACGAAATCCGGTTAAGTGTAAACATAGCCTTAAGATCGTGCAATTTATAATTTATTAATTTTGTTTCGTGATTTTGATTAGTTCGCTAAAAGATATACATTCGCCGTATTTGGGTAATACGGCCGTACAAAACATTTTGCCATGGTGGAGAAGTTGAATATTTTTTTACGTCTCGTTGGAATTTAGTAAACGTTGTTGTACATGAAAAACTATCGTACATAATAACTGATTTCATAAACAAACATAAAAATAGATGTTGACAATTTTCATTTGAATTTGAAAATTCCTAAACATTGAATTAAATATTTAAAATATGTTCGTAGCAATGACTTATTTACATATGCCGCAGTATATACAATTTACGAAAGACTAGGAACAGACTGAAACCAGTTCATGACATGTTTCTTATTGGAATCATAAAGCGGGCGGAACGGAGAGAAATCGAAGTGAGAACCAGAGAGCCAATTGCCTTGAACTAGACCAATATTGAATGACATGTAAACAGACTGGTCAGAGCTAACTAACGTCGTCTTATGGCCAAAGACCATTTGTTGTCGTTGAACTTACCTCTTTCTCAAGTTGTCCATAAATTTCTCCGTTGTTACCTCATCGAGGAGTACAAAATCTTGTACTCCCACTTCGCGGTGTTGCATGGCCATTGTTGTTTCTTGTAAATATTGTTGACGTTTTCGCTGTTCCTCTCGTTCAAATTACTGTTGTCGTTGTTGTTATTATACAAAAGCTGATTGTATGACGTTCAAAATCACAGTAGCAGCATAGGTATGTTTGTATGTGCACTTGGTATGTTTGTTGATATGTATATATCACTTTCGTTGTGTTGTTGTTGTTACCGATGTTGATATGACAAAAAAAAAAAAACTAATGTAAAAAGGGCCGGATGAATATTATTGAAAAAAGAAACAAAGAAATTTGGTCAAAATACTCTGTATGCCAAGTTGATTAGGTATACGGTGTTGGTAGCAAATAACACACAAACACTCACACACACACAAACGAACTCGCATTACTAAGCGCGTATACACAAATTGTAATATGAAGAACAGAGAAACAATAAAAGAAAAACAGTCAAAGACACTCCATTAAAATCGATCAATCCAACAAAATAAGTTTCACTGACAGCCATCAGTTTGTCAGCCAGCCAGCCAGGCACTTTGTTTTGTTATATTTACTAAGGCTTGTTTTCTGTTTTGTTTTACGTCTTCGGCGTTTATGTTTCATGCTTCTTCCTGATCGTAAATTTCACCCGTTTCATAATTTGGCCAACTATGTATATATAGCCATGTTTGTGTGTACGCTACGCGACAATAAATTCTGCAGAACGAACGATGACGATCACAAAGTTCTGTATGTGTGTTTTGTTGTTGCCAACGTATATATGGGGTTACTCATATATACATTAGCTCATAGAACTTATGGCATTTGGGTAATTTTGCAACTGAGCTATCTTTTGGATACGAACAATAAAAACTAACACTCAGTATTCATCGTGTCGCCGCCGTCAACAAAGGACATACGCAAAAAAACAACATAACAAACTATCAAATCTCAATATCAACTGTGCGTGTGTGTGTGTGCATGAGTAATGCACATTTGCACCAATGAAAACGAACTTTTGGAATTGATTTACATTTGTTCAAGCCATGTAGGTCGGTCTTAACCTTCTTTCACTTGGCCACTACCTTCGATTTCAATGAAACACACAAGAATTAGGATAAAAACGAACTTTGAACGGCAACAAAAACAATATAGATTTAAATAAATGACAGACACCGACCGAACGACCGTTTTGCAATATTTAAGTTTTTAATAATTGCCACCAATAATTTGTTCCGCTGTTGTTGTTTCCGCAGCGACCACGCACGTCCGAACACATTAACGTTTGAGCGTCGTTTGTTTCAAAATTGAATTGGACAGAGCGAATTCGTGACATGCTGTTGAAGTACAAAGCCTTCCTCTATAGAAACGACGCCGCCATTAATGGAAAACTTAGCAGAAATTTCCGAAAAACGTAAGAGTCAAGGTATATTTAATAAGGTAGCCGCATCGGCCCAGCTGTTGGACAAATAAATGTCAAAAATGTTGTTGTAATGTTGAACCAAAAAATTAAAAAACAAAATTATAAACGAAAATCTCCGAATTTCGAAGAGCCTTTTTGGCAATACTTTTATTAACATTTTCTACAAGAATTTGTATAAAAAAATCTTGTCAATCTGTTTGTTTTGGCAAAATATTTTTGACATATCAAAATACAACAACCGATGTTTGTTGTAGAAATTCGCCGATGCGGCTACCTTGTATATCTACCTTGGTAAGAGTCTAAACGCAACCATAGAGTCTAGAGTCAGCGACAGTCGTTTGCCGTGTGTTTCTTATTGGCAACGGGAAATCGCGACGGCTGACGTTCGCGTCTAGCGGCATGACGCTAGAATAGATTTTATTCATTTTTGCTCAGCGTCATACTCAAAATTTCTCTCTTGCTCTCAATTGAGTTGCCATATTTTATGTAAAAATCAACAGTGCTACCAAATTTCAATGAGAATTTATATCAAAACATATGGCAGTGTTGTTAAAAAACAAATATTTTCAAGGATTGTGGACGTTTTTTTTTAACGAATTAATAATAAAATGGAAGAAACATAATTTGTTTCAATAATTTTATCCAACTTCCTTGGCATTATTGTTTATTAAATAATAAAATGAGTTTGGTTTGCACAACGTAAAATTTTCTGTCAGAAAATGAAAACAAATAATTGACATTTTGTACCGCTAACGCTAAGAGTCTAAACGCAACCAGAGAGTCACTAGTCAGCGTCATACTTTTTCGCCGGCGTGAAAACCAAACGAAAGAGTTAGCGTTAACGGCACAAAATGTCAATTATTTGTTTTCATTTCCTGACAGAAAATTTTACGTTGTGCAAACCAAAATCAATTTATTATTTAATAAACAATAATGTCAAGGAACTTGGATAAAATTATCGAAAAAAAATATTTTTCTTACATTTTATTATTAATTCGTTAAAAAACATCCACAATCATTGAAAATATTTGTTTTTTCAACAGCACTGCCATATGTTTTGATATAAATTCTCATTGAAATTTGGTAGCACTGTTGATTTTTACCTAAAATATGGCAACTCAATTGAGAGCAAGAGAGAAATTTTGAGTATGACGCTGAGCAAAAATGAATAAAATCTATTCTAGCGTCATGCCGCTAGACGCGAACGTCAGCGTCGCGATTTTCCGTTGCCTATAAGAAACACACGGCAAACGACTGTCGCTGACTCTAGACTCTATGGTTGCGTTTAGACTCTAACTCTTTCGTTTGGTTTTCACGCCGGCAAAAAGTATGACGCTGACTCATGACTCTCTGGTTGCGTTTAGATTCTAACATGGCATTTACACACGATATTCATGAGTATACAATAGCTAATTCACAAACCTTTTTACCATTTCCAAAAAAGAAAACATATTGCTACGAATTTAGATTTAAGTTAATTTAGATGAATTCCGTTAATTTAAGAATTTGAATTGTAACGTAAATTTCTACTACGCAGTTTATTCGAATAACTTCACAACAACAACTACTGTATAGATTTTTCTACATCCTTCCATTTCCTCTTTCATTTTCTATTTTGTTATTGACGTACAATTCTTGTTAAACGTCATCATTGATGATCGCTTAATTCCTCTTTCTTTGTTACTCCCTCGCCTGTATATGTGTTGTTATTGCTCACTCATTGTAAGTTTGTATGTGTTTGTTGCATTGGTAGATTGTTCGTAATCTAAGTGTTACCAGATCGTCTAGAAACTTCTGTAGCGACAGGCAAGGCTCATATAAATAGGGGAAATGGAAAGGCAGTTAGTCAGTTGTGAATCAGATCGCGAATTGAAACCGTCAAGTAAAGTGCAAAGTAAAGTTGTGTCAATAAAATCATTGTAATATTCGTAATCAGAAAGAACCCGCGTTTTATTTAGTACGAACTGTACTGGGAAATAAAACAACGTCTACACGGGATTAAGTAAAATCCAAGAACGTAATAATTGGTGTCGGAAGTGAAATTACGATAATACTACGATGAAGTTTAAGGATCTACGAGTGGAAGACTTGAAGAAGGAGCTCAATAAATTGGAATTGTCCTCTACTGGCAACAAGGCTGAGCTACAAAAACGTATGTTGGATGAGTTCGAGCGCCGTGGTATGAACATCGATACATATGAGTTTGACAGTAAGGATGAAGTGGATTTATTGGAAATGGACGAATCCAACGGTGGGGAAGTCTCGTCAGTAGCTGCCAGGGGTGACGATTTAAGAGAAATGCTGGCTAAAATGTTGGAAGAGAATTCTAGAAAGTTAGATGAACTCAAGTCAGAGAATTGTAGAATGAACGATAAACTCGAGTACATTACAGAAGTTATTGGAAGGAGAGTGGAAACCGTGGATGACCAAATTAAAGAGTTGGATAAGAAAGTGCAGTCGGTTGACGAGAAATTTCTGGCCCACGACCATAGGTTTACGAATCTGGAGAAGAAAATTTCGGAACTGGAAATCAAAGGTGGTCCGGTGCCAATTCCTGACAACACACTAAAAATCAAACCTCCTGTATTCGACGGCTCTACGTCATTCAATGGCAGTGGCTTCTAGAAATTCGTGGAACGACAGCGACAAAGCGGTTGCACTACTTCTGGCATTGAAGGGCAGTGCTGCTGATGTTATGCAGAGTATTCCTGTCGCTTCTAGAAACAACTATGAAGATGTTATTGCTGCACTGGAACGTAAGTACGGTGGCGAACATAAACAAAACATCTACCTTATGGAATTAAGGGGAAGAGTACAGAGGGCAAACGAGACGTTACAAGACTTTGCAGCTGAGGTGGAACGTTTGGTGCTAATGACGTATCCAGGAGAGAATCACCCATTGGTGGACCATATGAAAATCGAAACCTTTGTGAATGGCATACGTGACCCTGAGATTAAGTGTGCAACATATGCGTCACCAAAAGCGTCATTTGCCGAAACTGTGTCGTTTGCCCTTGCCCAAGAGACGGCAAGAATAATTGTTAAGCCCCAGACCCACAAGATTCGCCAACTGGAGACCGAATGTTGCGAACCCAAATCTCTCATTAACTCGATCGAAGACGCCATGAGGCGGGTAATAGAAGAAACAAAGTTAGTAGGGATGACTAAGTCCAGGGTTAGATGCTACAACTGCGATAAAGCAGGTCATATTGCGCGCGAATGCAGAGCTAAGCGCAAACGATCCAGGTCATCTTCACCACCTCCAACGAAAGATGGTAGAAGAATGGCTCAACAGTCCACCAATGAGTCACCGTTAAACTAAATCGAGCCAGTTCAGCGGGGCATGAACTGGCTCCCATCGACGATGGCCCCACAATCTCCATAGCAATAGTACAACAGGAAAGTCACAACCTAACAACAACTGGGTACATCAATGGTGATAAGCGAGTTCTGACGTTAGATACTGGCGCATCAAAGTCCATCATAAGATCAGATCTGGTAAAGGAAAAAGTAACGCAAATTAATGGAGTCAGACTGCGCACAGCAACGGGGGAGCCCGCGGCAGTACACGGCAAGATTACCCTGAGAGTAACTATTGCCAATAAATCGGAGAATTACGAGTTTGTAGTTGCTGATAT